TGTCGCAAGATTGTCCCTCAACCCTCATGCTGCATCCTCTTTAAATCCTTCCACCTCAGCCTTCCAAGTAGCTGGAACCACAGGTACAGGCCATCACGCCCGGCTAATTTTTTGTTTTATTGCAAAGATGAGGTCTCACGAATTTCCCATCCTGGTCTTGAACCCCTGGACTCAGGCAACCCTCTCGCCTCAGTTTCCCAAAGTGCTAGGATTACAGGTGTGAGCGACTGCACTCTGCCTATTCTTTGTGTTTATTGATGACTATCAATCTTCAATGCCCATTTAAGCTCCATGAGAACAAAATTCTTTCATAATCTGCCTACTTGTGTTTAATGATGCATCTCAAGTGTACAGAACAGTGCTATGAACATAGTAAATACACAATGAACATTACTTAAATATGTGGATGGATATTAAGCCTGTTCACTTAGTGTATATATGAACCTCTCAAATCATTCCATTGGAAAAGGAAAATATAAAGGGTATATTTGTAGCTTAACAAAACTTGACACTGAAATTTTTAAAGGACACCAACTGTGTCACAACTTCATAACTGCCATCCTTCCCAAATGGTAGATTGACAATGCTACCCTGTACAGTAGAATATGGGAAAATGAGCCAGGAAGAATGAATCTCAAAAGGTAGAGATTTAGCTGGAGCAGAGCTTTTACTAAGGAGAAGGAATCTGGATAAATCTTGAGGAGTATGGACAGAGGCAGTTGCACTTTTTTCCCCAGCCAAGCAGAGGGTATAAGAAAGAATCTGTGGCCCTGTCTGAAAGCTATAGGAGAAGCTAGAGAGATCATGGTCTCTAAGCCAACCATGGAGAGGGATCATCTTTTGAATAGACCAAAGATATGTAGAATTTTTTTGAGCATGGAATGACAATTTCAGAAAATATTTTAATAGAACATGACAAAGGTGACTGAAGGGTGCCATATGATGATATTTACTTAAGTATTGTCATAGAATAAATTTTTCTCTGACATGGGAAACACTTCGGCCTCTACTGGCCAAGCACACACAAACCTCTCTAAACTGAGTCTTGCATGGATTAGAATATTTGCCCTTCTGAGATACCCTAGCCCTATTGGACAGGCAGAGAGACTTATCAGCTTCTAAGATTACATATTCCCCACTGTTTGTGCCAATATAATTTTTATTTTTTACTATTTGCTGGGTTTGTGTTTTCAAAGCCATTTGATATCTATCAAGAAAACGTTTGTCTTCAAAAATATTCCTGGATTGTAATAATTTTCAGTGAAGGGAACTAATGAACACACACAGTGTGCATAATTGGTTTCAGAGAGCTTATACAATTTTTCTACTTTTATTAATTTGACATCAAACTTAAGTGTGTTCCTTTAATAAGTACTTCCAGATGAATATGAAATTAATAGCAAAAGTGGGATGTCAAAACTTTGACAAAGGTGATAAAAAAACCTAATAATGTATATGAAGATCATAAAATATACATTTTACAGAAATGGAGAAAAAGCTTATTTCCACTTAAAATATCACAAATGTTGAATGTGTGTAGTGAGTTAATTATTTTGCTACTTATCCATAAAAGAGCACGACATTATTTTCAAAGGGTCTTTCGTTGCACACAGTGTTTTTGAAATACATTAGAAACACTGAACAATTCTGTAAAAGAAGACAATATTCAAAATTTATTGAAAACAATTGGGGAATGACTAGAGAAACTATCATAGCCAACATTTATTGTTTAGATAAAAGTACATGAGAAGGAAGTTGATCTTTAAAGTAATGTTTAATTCTCCTCTTGGTATATTTTTCTTCCTGAAATATATAATTGCTCCATTAATATAATTGTTTCAAATGTATACATTTAACTTGGAGGTCAATAAATAGATAGATAAATAGAGTCTAAAATATGCAAAAGAGAGATGTAAAGATCAAAAAGGACAATAATTTAGACGGTAAAAACAATTCTAGCTAGCAACAAACACTACATCAGCCATGAAATTGAATAGATTTGCATGGACTAACTTCCTAATTTCGAACATTTTTAGTTGCAGAAACTAAAACAGACTCCTCAGTTTAGGTAACTCAGGTCACAAAGATTGTTAGTTTTGGAAACAGACTCCTATCCTGATACTCTGATTTCAAATTTTTAACTGCCTCTATAGCCCACTTTATTAACTGATCAAGTAGAAAGTTACAGACAAACATTTAAGAGAGTAAGGTATTTATATTTACAAATAGAAAGAAGGAGGAAAATATTTTGAAACTTTTCAATGTGCCTGACTCAATATTAAATACTTAGGAAGTTATCTCATTATTTATCTTTCTGCTCATATTTGGTAAAGGCTTTATATGACCATAAGATCTGAGATTTGTTTGGAGTCAGGCAACTGAACGATGAAAATAAATAAGAGTAATTAAAGATTTGGGAAGTAATTCTTCTATTAATAGAAGAAAACTTAAAGTCTTTTTTGTTACCAGAAAGGAATGTTAAGGAGAAACTTACTAGTAAGAATGTCTACATATGTAAAAGGCATTTTATAAATGTGTGTGAACAGAGTTTTGTTGTTTCCTCAAGCCAATATAAACAGAAACAAAACTAAATTATATAGAATGGAGTCTATTATTCTATATAATTTAGGAGAATTTAGTCAAGAAGAATTAGCAGGGTGCTGATATAATATTCAGCAACCACTAGATATCAGGACTAGAGGCAGGGATAGAAATGAAGACAGAGATATTTAAGTTATTTTAGGAAAGTTATTTTATTCTCATTCTTTTCTGCTCTAGTGTTTTCCTTAGGAAAATAAATATAAATATATGAATATTTATGTTTATAAATATAATTCTGATTTTAAATCTGTGAGTTATGTGAAATTGTCACTCTTTTAAAGAGGAATTTGAAGCCCAGAGAGTTTGAGAAGTCTTCCCAATTTCACACAGAAATTAAGTTGAAATTGAGGGAGGCAGGTTATGGAAGAAAAAGTAAAGCAGAAAACTGGGAGTTAGAATATCTGAGTTCCACTGTGGACTTGGCCACTTTCTTGCATTTGACCATGAGATAATTACTTCCCAATACTCTATATGTAAAATAAAAAAAAGAATGCACACAAAAATGTTTGGAAGGTTACACAGGCATAGTGTCTGAAAATTCTATGAAGAGGAATATAAATATTCTTTAAAGAATTTACGAAAGAACAGACTTTCTTCTTGGCATACTGCTAAAGGTTAAATTTTTAAAAATTAAATATTCATTTTTTAGCCAGAAAAGATTTGATCTAAACTTAAAAACTGTTTCTTCCCAAACATTTTTATTTGAATATTTCTCTTCAAACTCATACATGGTATAAGTCATTCTTACCTTTTCACATGTGTCTAATATAGTTCATGCTTTGCATTAACATCGAGGGATTTTATTTGTTTAATAAGAAAAGAAGTAGTATTTATAGCCTCATACTCTTCGAGTTATCATCTACCCAATATTCTACGGGAGTAGTAAAAAGATGGCTATTGTGCTATCTAGGGACTGAGAATAAAAGTGAACAATGAAAATAACTTACAATTTCATAGAAAAGGATTGATCTTATGGAAAACAAACAGCTTCACTATTTCTTATGTCTCTTCACACATTTCTCATTTATCATATCAGAATTGGGAACATTTTTGCCCCTCTTATTATTGAAATCCTCTAGAAATTTGCAACCTGCATATAGAACCAATAATTAGATTATTCTGATCACCAAATCACTAAAAAAAAGTGTGTCACGTATAAATAGCAATAGAATTCATTGATTGTAAATAAAGTGAAAGGGAGACATTACAGAGCAATTTCAAGCAAGCAAGATAATTAAAGTCAGAGATGCTGTTTCCTGCTTCTCTGGTATAAACAATGAAGCTGCTCCACTGGCCTTTCCACAACCTGGATGTCCCAGAGCTCCCTCCCTCTTCTTTCCTAAAGACAATGTTCCCTAAAGAGAATTCTGGGTCATAAAGGAATGAGAATTACTGTAACTTTTTTTTTTCTGAAATGACTAGAGCTTCCTCTTCGTTTGTATTTGTGACATCTTATTATGAGAAGAGCTAACATCTATTATTAATTGATGCACTAATTAAAGCCATACTTGCAGTTTCCATTAGCTTATTCCCTAAATTCTCCAGAGTTGGCTGTCTGGTTTTAATCAAAACCAAATGGTAGTCCAAGTTCCCAGCCTGGATCAGCTAGGAGGAAGTCATTCAGTGGAGGCACAAGAAAGCAGAAAAGATAAACAGATGATGGTTCACAAAATTTGTGTCGGACGAGGGATGCAGATACTGTGAGCTGCTTTAGAGATGTGATTCAGGGACTCTGTCATGCTAGATGGAAGCAGTTGCAAGTGTTTAATGTCAGCAAGACTCTAATATGATCAAGATGGAGTCTGTCTTCTGCTTTTCCAGCACTGGATTTGTGTAACTCTGGAGGATTCTGACTGGAGGTAATGTGGCTGCATATGCCATGACACGGACTACTTTAAATCTGGGAAGGATTCTTGCAATCAGAAGGCACTTGAAGAAAGTGTCCTATTTACTAGATTCTTGGCATTTTACTTACAGATTTTCTCAGGTACAGGAATTTGAGACTGCAGCACTTTAAATTTTAAGTCATGAAAAAAAGGTTTTAAAATTTAGGAGAATTACAGTATTGGGACTCTAAATTCATCTTCCTCTCCTGCAAGATCTTTTGAAGTGAAAGTTAGCAAAGGTATTTTCATTAAAGCTGTGTATATACATTTTAAATAGTGAAGAGGCTGTGGATGAGAAGAGAACTATGTTTCTTTCTCTCTCTCTCTCTCTCTCTCTCTCTCTCTCTCTCTCTTTTCATAAGCAGTGTGGATACAAAAAGAGCTCTAGGACTTTATGACTCTCTAGCTAATCACCTCAAGAGCTTTGACAAAACTCACTTGAGTTCTGTGTAAAATCAGAACTCCTAAAACGCCCAGGCAGCTCGCTCTCCCCGCCACCCCCCTGCTTCATACAGCCTTTCTCACATGCACACTCCTCAGAGGCAGGAAATACTTTCCAGGCAATCTGGGCCTGGTTGTGGAGGCCCCTTTCGCAAAACATCAGTCTGAATTTAGTAGACAGAAGTCACTAGGAATGCCTTGACAGGATCCTGCTTTAGCTAAGGCTCCCTCCAGCTGCGAAGGGTGTTTTTGTTAGAATCACACAGTGCGTAAAACTGCTCAGAATAGAGCCATGATCTCAACCACGAAATGGGAACTTAGATTTTGGAGAAACTAACGGGGACGGACTTCTTTCCTAGCCTGAGTGATGAACAGTGGTGTCATGCCTTGGCGTTTCAGCTCCTCGTTGTCTAGGTAAGATGCTATGGACTATCTTTATGCTTTGAGGTGATCTTTGAAGAGGCAGAAAGATTGAGATGGTGTCTTCCCAGGTTTTAGAGTGAAGCCATAAAATCAGAGGTGAAAACTGTTTAGTAAGTAGAAAACTTGTGAGTCAGATCGTTTTAGCAAAATATCAATTCTAAGATAGATTCCAAATAGATTTTACTCTTTTCCTCCACAAAGCAAGATTTTATTTGGAACCCTTTTTATTTTTAACTTATTTATTAGTTGATGTGTAAGACCAGTTTTTCTATTGCATGGCATAATATGAAACAAATAATGTTCTCACACATAAGTGTGAAGTGTAAATGAACTCCCCACTTCCTTCTTTTACCAACAGGGAGAGTAGGCAGCAGCACTAGAGTGACTTTTTTCTTAATAATCACTCTCCAAAGAATATTTTGTGTCTCATTTAAAACTATTAAGATTGAATTCTTCATTATTTCCCCAAACCGATTTCCACCACATGTTAAACTGCTCCTGTAACAGCTTAAAAGATTCATTTAAAGAAAAGCAAACACATGAAATTTCAGAAATTATTTCTATCCTAACTAGTATACAATTTGAGTTTCAGAAATGTAGAGATCAGAATTGGATTTAGTTTATGTTAATTTTCCTGAATTCACTGCTCAGGTTATATTTTGTGTGAAAACTTTGAATAATTGAAGCAAATCTCAGTGACACTGACTTAAAATTATTATTATTATTTTAAGACATCTAGAAAGCACTGCAATTATATGACGCTAATTATGTGTCCTTACTTTATATAATTATAAAATTACATTTCCACTGGACTATAGTCTTCGTAAGGTAATCGTAAATGTTTCATTTTGCAATACATTGGGAAAGAAATTTAATATGACTGAGATAGTATGGATTTATGATGCATAACATACTGCTATATTTCTGGATATTTGGAATGAAAATCATTATTTTATAGAAATAAAATGAAATGGTATATAAAGAGAATAAATACTCATATATATTTACAAATATATTCGATGAACATAAAATATACCAAATGAAAGATGGAAAACTATTTTGACAGTTGAATCATGAGAAATCAAGTAAGTGTTTTAATTATAAGCTTTTATACGGTAGGGGGTGACCTTTGCCATATTAGGTACTCAATTGTTAAATGATATGCCTCAATAACTTAGGTTGATAAAATTTAACTATTCACTAACAATTTGACTTGTGTTAAGACTTTTAGCATATGAGAAAAATAATCTAAATATTTGAAAGATAAAATGCTGACTTATCTAAATTATAATTTAATAAAATCCCTGAATGGAATTTCCTGAAAGAAACATAAGAGATCACCTCTTCTGACACTGTCCTGAGGTTACCAACAAAAAGCTGAGAAATGACATTTAAAAGTGACTGTCCAAGGTCATACCACTAACTAGCAGAAGAGATGACAGCTAAACTACAGTGCCCTGACTTATAATTCAGATATCTTAAACGATGTCATCTGGCTCTCAAACAATACTTATGCAAAGTGAAGTATGAACCTGTCCAATAGAAGGCTACCCTGAAAACAAAATTGGAGCTTTTCTAAAAAAAAAAAAAAAAAAAAAAAAGCTTACAGATGTCATCAATGTTACTTATGTGGGAAAAATCAAGATTTTTTAAAAAAAGAATCAAACTCACTAAATAATGCAATTTTTTCAAATACAAAACTTTTTCTTATAAAGATTTCCTATTTCTTCAACATACACTTTAAAGGAGTAACTTGTTTTGTGACTATCAAGCAACATTTTATGTTTATGCCAAGGAAATGAAGCCATATGCTAATAATTACATTAATTTAAAACTGGTATTTTTTTAAAATAAATGGAGCTAGACAAGAGCTTGTCAAATTCATATACTTGTATTCAAATGGCATCGTGATAAAACTATGCCAACCAATGACTTTCAGAGGTGATCTTACAACCCTCTCCTCTATTAAAATCAGTATAAGAATCTCACTAGTACCAGCATTCTTCTATCTAACCTAAATCTCTGTTGCTGCAGCCTATTTCCAGTTCTATGTGTTTCTCCCTGGGTAGAAATATAAAAAGCCTAAATGGACATATTAAAACATAAATGTATATTTCTAGATCAAATAAGCCCAGTTCATCTCATCTTTCCTTCTACAACCTTTATTCTCAATCCTTTAATTGATTCATATGTCTACTCTGAGACTTCTGCAAAGTCCTTTAGTTGTAGAATGCAGAGTTTTTTCACAGTATATAAATAGATGTCTGCCCAGTGTGGTATAAAATGAGAAAGTTGGCTGTTTCATCCACATCATACTTCAGAAATGACAATCTATGCTACTGTGTGGCTGAAGCACTGAATCTTCCAAGGCAAGAGCCTTTTTCATAAAATGAATATAATCCATTTCTAATAGATGCCATTTCTTTAGAGAGAATGTGTCATGATGTTTTTTTTCCATTTTCACTAACTAGAATGAGTTTTCTGATGTATTACCACTTACAAGATACACCCTTCAACATTTCTTTCCAGTGTCACCACATTCTACATTATTGTAATGAGGAATAATGTGGTAATGCTGTAGCCTAAGTGGCTACATGATTACTCGAAGGCCTAGTAAAAGAGAATACACAATTTCATTATTTTCTTAAGGACATTATAATTAAAAAGGAGTATTTTTCTGGCTTGATCCAAATCTACGCATACTGTCCACTTCACTACAAACACTTAAGGGATGATTTAATCTTATTTACAGAAGATTAGCTCTCATAGGATCACCATAAGTCTAAAATGAGTCATTTAAAACTTCTATTTTGTTTTTATTTTATGTGGTTCTTCTTGGAAAATGACTGAATTCGTGTCATACAAAGAGAATCATTCTGTAAAAAGCATTACAGTAGAGCAAGGTTCCAAATGACACATGACTTTGATCTGGGTCAGAGATGTTATCATAAAAATAGAGAAATGTCAAGAATTATACATGAGAATTGGAAGAGGATGCAGGAACTTCCAGATGTTCCTGTGAAAACTTCCAGATTTGAGGGAAGTGGCATGGATATTAGGTCTGCTTCCCTCACATGAATGATAAGCCCCTTACATAAACAACAAAGACCAACAGATTTACTGAGAAGCACTACTCTTGGTTGGCTTTGGTGTGACAGAAATGCCATGTTTACTTCTATGGTTCTGTTTTGGCCTTAAATTGCTGGTCAGATCATGGAGCAACATATGGGGTTAATTTTTAAGGAAGGAAATCAGAATAAGGGTGAATAAACTAGGATCTTGAGACCTAGTTTGAAAAGATATTGTTGATTTTGATTCAGTGCATTATAAAGTAAATAAGTGAACTTGAAAAGATTAAAGAAAGACTCAGATACAAACAAACTGAAAGGTAAGGTAAACAGGTTGCATGTGAATTTGCTCATTAATTGAGATAGATTGACGGAAAAGACAATTGTAGCTGGCTGTATATGTGAAAAGATTGTTTTGTATTAGATTGAAGTAACAAAGTGTTTTTAGCCATGCAATTCAAATAATTTAAAGAGAAAATCACTTTTATTGATGGAAATGAGATAGAAAAGAAGTAGCAAGATCAAAGAACATGTTTTGAAATTCAACTAATGTTTCTTTTTTATCTTCAGAAATTAGCAAAATACCTAGCATATGAAGAATTGCCAATGCTTGTTTGGCAGTAAATATTTGTTGAATGAATGGGGAGAAAAGAGGAATAAAAAAGAAAGAAAAGAAAGCCAGGGTTGAAGAATGGTAAGATGTGGGGGTTGAACTTTTTTTCTATCTTCTAGACATCCTGTAATAATAGAATAATAATTTTTAAGGGGGAAAGAAAATAAGAGGTTGGCAAGAGTCATCAGAGCCTGAGGCCAGAGGTTAACAACACTCTCATTCGATGACATTTCAAATTCATTAAGAGTCAGAAGGAAGCATGAGTCTCCAGGAATAGTTTGAAATTAAAACTTACATGAAGCCATTGAGAACAGAGCACTAGTGGATTTTCCACAATTTAAATGGGGCGGTATACTGAAAAAATCATGGGCAGAGTCAGAAAACTGGCTCTGGTTTCATCTTTGCCACTTGACACTCTGTGATTTGAAGCTTGCCCCATAAACTATTATGAATTTCTGCTTTTTATGAGTGAAGTATAAGGTCACCAGGTCATTTAGAGCATCAGATGAGACTTTGCAAGTACAAATTGTTTTATATACAGAATAACAAACAAATCTTTGTTTTAAAAAAGCGCAAGTTATTTAAGAAAAGATAAAGGATTATTGTGTTTCATATTTTGATCTAATTACTCACTTATGTTGAAATAGCATAGGCATTCAAAAGATAGCCCCAGCTAGTGCTTAGTCTTGGATTCTGCAGCTAAGATCAGTCAAAAGCTAAAGGAGTCACTGCCATTATCATCATCATCATCATCATGTCACTTAGCATCTAGTGAGACCTCATCTCTATAATAATTTAAAAAATTAGCCGGGTGCCTGTAGTTCCAGCTACTTGGAAGGCTGAGGCGGAAGGATCGTTGGAGCCCAGCAGGTCAAGGCTGCAGTGGCCGGGAGCGGCCACTGCACTCCTGTCTGGGCGACTGAGTGAGACTCCAACTCAAAAAGAATTTAAAAAAAAAAAAAAGATTAGGATGATAGCTAATATCTCACAGACTATTTGTGAGTGTTATTACTAAAAGAGATAGTGTACGCCATGCACCCAATTCGGTACCTGGTCCCTTCCCATTGTTAAATGCTTAGCAAATGGAAGGTTTTTATTTTATTTTACTATTACTTTTATCTTTACCACTGAAAGTTTCTAATGCACTTAATATTACATAGTATAAAGTAAATTCCCTGGTGGTAAAAACAAGCTCAAGTGTATATAGGTAGATGACAAAATAAGATGAAATTATAGATATGTACAGAAGACAAAAATTGATATGAGAGGCATTGACGCCTGGTAGATATCAAGATAATAGAAATCACTAA